CTGTGCACATGGATAAGACAGCTGTCAGTCTGTCAGAGCAGCACCTGCACTTAAATGTTTATTGCAAATAATGTGTAATCTCAGTTAAAATGATGAAAATCTGTGTGAAGCTTTAGACACGTAGGATCAATAAATAATGATCTCTATCGATGTGATTGGTCACACTGATGGAACATAATTCATATAGGCTAGTCTAATATTGGAGATTATTAATATTTGTGAGTGAGCAGGATCGTGGTGCAGCTGCAGAATGTAGCTTGAAAGTGAGTTTCTTAAATAGTCTGAACGTGTTTTAACAGCGTTGGACAGTTTATCAGATTCCAAGAAACACTGTGTTGTATATAACATGCAGCGTTTTGTACATGTAGCATTGTGCTGTACTGTATACAGCATGTATCATAGACTACATACTATCCCCTATTCATTTGTGTCATACTTTCCCTTTTATTAATACTTTTCTCACATCATGTGTATATTTTTACTCAAATTGTTTTGATTTTATTCTTCTCTTATTAGGGTCCGGGCAGCTAAGCTACACTATTGTAATCCTAGTTCTTCTTCTTCTTCTTCTTCTTCTTCTTCCGAGGAAATCATACTTCCCATGGGTGAAAACTCACCAAACTTTGCACAAAGGTCCAGTCTCATGCCAGATATCCTCAGCTGTAAACTCAAGCCAATAGTCCTGATGGTGGCGCTACAGCAAGTGTTTAAATTTCAAAACTTTGAAAATTCATAACAAATCAACCATACGTGCTACAACTTCACAACTTTCATCAAACTGTAGCACCAATACTGAAGAAACTTTTGTACACTTAAACCTATTAAAAATTATTAAGTTCATCACTGTTTTTTTCAAAATCTGTAAAACTTCTTAAACCTATCTCCTCCCACAATTTTTGCTCAATTGACACCAAACTTGCTACAGAGTATCTTCAGACTATCCTACAAAAACTATGTTTCTCAGATTTTTGTAAACGGTACTGTAAACATATACATGCAAATTCTTGCTAAATAAATCTTCAATGTTCAAGAAAAAAAATGACAAAATTCTAGAGGCATGGTAGATGATGTGTGGCAAATTTCAGAATTTTATCTCAAACTGAGATAAACTAAACTGAACTGAACTGAATTTTTGACAGCATTTTGAATTTTTCTCTAATGTGAACAATTGGAGTCAATGTAAAAATGGCAATTTTAAACATCAGTTTTTCACTTATGGAGCAAATCAATCATTGTTACAAACAAATTACCAACATCTCCATGCTGTCTAGATGCAATATGTGTATTTTCAGATTTTTGTCTTAATAACTGAATTTTTTGCAGTGGTTTCAAATCTGCCTTTCCATGCACGGATGGCTGCTTTCCTACACAACAGTGAATGGCTTACTCAATTTGTGAAGCCACTGTTGAGCTGCTACTTACCAATTAGCTCAGAGCAGTAGATGACCAACTTAGGTTCCAGAGGTTGCGGATTCGAGCCTCAACTAGTGCAGAATCCACATTGTAATGTAAACATCTTCTTGTGCTCCAGCTTATTGCTTAAAATTGCCTGAGTGTGACTCATCACTGTGCAGCATCTTCAAGTCTTTTTTCTGCTAGAAAATCTGCCTTCTCATACTTGAAAATGAACCAAACTTTGCACAAAGATCCAGTGTCAATACTTCAGTGTGAAACCATCTGAAGCTTCTCACTTTGCACATAGCTCAACTAGTTTAACATCAGTTTTTCACTTATGAAGCAAATCAATCATTGTTAAAATAAATTCCATGCATGGATGGCTGCTAAACCTGCACATCTGGCTTAGTCAATTTGTGAAGCTACACATGAACTGTCACTGACTAATTAGCTCAGTGAGATAGAAATTGATTCATAGTCTCAGAGGTTGTGAGTTCAAGCCTCAGCTGATGCAAAAGGCAGATTGTGTTGCAAAATTCCTAAATGTCTTCCAATTCTTCTGCTTGTTGCTCAGAATTGCCTAAAAATGCCTGGACCTGACCCACCCGACTATCTGTATCTTTGCCTGTGTTCAAATACATGTTCAAATGTACAACTGACACAAATATGCCAAGTAAACTTATGTTTTTAATGCAAAACATCGAGAAGTGAAACAAAACAGTTTCACAATTATGCAGGGGCTGCATCCGTACAGCAACACTGAATATCGGCCATTGAAGCCATAGAAATAGGCTACATATTATTACATAGCCTACGAATATGACAACTTTATGAATGACAACAACAACACAGCTTGCCACATTAAAACATCATAAAAACATAAAAGTGCATGAAAGTGTTACATCTGCTACCATAACCTTTGAACTAGCTTAGAGGAAAATCCAGGCCTGACCCTGCTTAGCTTAAAACATAAAAACAGTAAGGAAACTCCAGTCTTCTTCTATTCTCAGCTGCCTGCTCCGCTCCGCTCCTCTGCTGACGTCCGATCCTGGATTTCCCCCACCCTGCCTCGACCAAGCTTCGTCCTCTCTCCGGTCCTCCTTATAACTTGTACCTGCTACTTATCATCTCACTGCCCATGTGGTCCAACAATAGCATCACCGCCTTTTAAACAAAGGAACCGGGGTCGAATCCAGCATCAGCCGTTCAAGTGTTTCTCACTTGATTGTGAATAAACTGTTTGAACTGAGCTCTGCTGTTGTCTTAATTTTTGAGCCAACCTGTCATTCTTAATTTAACAGACACACATCAGGTAGGGTATGGGTGAATAGCAGCTACAGACAAAACTGGGCTAAGTGGTAAGATTAAGATGTCCTTTATTGAACCCAGGCATTGACACACAGTGCAAATATAAAAATAATAGAAGAATAAAATCAAAACAATTTGAGTAAAAATATACACATGATGTGAGAAAAGTATTAATGAAAGGGAAAGTATGTACAAATGAATAGGGGATAGTATGTAGCCTATGATACGTGCTATATACAGTACACCACAATGCTACATGTACAAAACGCTGCATGTTATATACAACACAGTGTTTCTTGGAATCTGATAAACTGTCCAATGCTGTTAAAACACGTTCAGACTATTAAAGAAACTCACTTTCAAGCTACATTCTGCAGCTGCACCACGATCCTGCTCACTCACAAATATTAATAATCTCCAATATTAGACTAGCCTATATGAATTATGTTCCATCAGTGTGACCAATCACATCGATAGAGATCATTATTTATTGATCCTACGTGTCTAAAGCTTCACACAGATTTTCATCATTTTAACTGAGATTACACATTATTTGCAATAAACATTTAAGTGCAGTTGCTGCTCCGACAGACTGACAGCTGTCTGATCCATGTGCACAGAGGCACAGACTTATTAAAAAAAAAAACCTTGTAATAAAAATGACAGATTTTTTATTCTGAGCTGATAGTGAATTACTTCTGTGTAATATTTGAAAGTGAAGACAAAATACGATGTTCAAAGAAATGATGCACATAAAATCAGTAGCCTAACTTTAGATAGTCCAAAGTAACAAACTAATATCCAGCCAGGGTTTAGATTGTGGCAGACAGTAAAAGCTCAGCTAATTAATGCACTTCGATAAGGACTGAATGAATGAGGAAATGAAACAGTGAGAGGGAGGAGACAGAGAAAAACTCAGGGTTTGTCGAAGAAAATCTGCTCCCGACCAGGTTAGGTTCACAGACTCAGTTGCCATAGTAACTGACACCGGGCTTCAGTTACCTGTCTTTCTGGAGCTGAAAACCCAGAGTTTCATTTAGGGTTAACATAGGCTACTCTGAGTTTGTCTGCAATAGCTACCCCACTGATCTAGTCAGTCTGCTAGAGTAGACCTGAAAACTAGATGGTTCTTTTTACTTCACCATAGCAGGTAGTGTGAATCTCTAAACTGTCTGCACAATTATTATCAAGTGTCTCCATGTGACCACAACTGAGGGGAAAGTCCAGTGACAGCTTAACTGTAATTGATAGTAGCCTATGCCTTTCCATAGATATGCATCTGTTTTTTCCTGTCTGGCTGTCAACATAGGCCTATTCATTCATATTATATTATATATATATTTGTATCTTTGATGACAACTTTGATGCAGTGCGACACCTGCTGGTCATTTTTAATAACTACTTTTGGCGTGCTTGCTGTCATGTTGATGGTTTTACTGAGAGCAGACTTCACTGTTCACGGTACATCCTGAAGAAAACTTACTATAGAGCTTTAATTTTCATGGTTTATCAGCTGCATATTAACAGGCAATACAATAAAACGCTGTTGCATTACTTCATTGCCTGTCTGTGTGGGTCGAATCTGCAGCCTCCGGGTCTGCAGAGACATCCCGCTGGCGTAAAGGCCAAGAGGTAACCTTATTTTGAAGGGCACAGCCCAAATGTAAGTGACAGAGCACGTTAGCCAATCAGAAGCAAGGGAGCGCTGAGAGCCCGTCTACCAATGACACGAAATATGGAGTGGTAAATATGTTTTTTTGCAACAGGATCAGAAAACAAGAAACTGAGCTGAATTTCATTTTTTTCATTTTTTTTAGCCAAAAATGAAAAAAAAAACAAAAAAACAACTTTCTGGTTTCTGATTGTGTCAGTTATTCCCAGAAAACAAACGGTTAAAAGGTACCTTGGTTGGGGAGGCATGCCAAATAATTTTTCAGGTACTGGGTTTTTTAATTAATTGAAGGTCATGCATTTCCGCAAGTCACTCAGGGAGGCACAAGGAAAAGTATTTGTAGCTTTGGGGAGGGTCAAAATGAAAATAAATAAATAAATTTAAAAAAATAAAAAATAAGTCACACCCCAACCGCCCCCTTCTCTGACAAGTAAAGAACACTCCCTTATATTTACAAATTACACGGATTCTGATCTGTTCACACAAAAAATATTGAGACAACTCTATCTCTATACATATGCTGTTTAGGAAGTACGTTACAAAAACACCAGGACATAACAACACAAAACAAAATATCACAAAATCTGTAAGAGAATAACCACAGAACAAGAGGTAGGAATAGAATTACGGGGTGTCAGTGTGTCATGTGCAGCCTAGAAGACTGAAGCAGCCACGCTGCGTAGTGGCTATCATTAGCCAGACAATGGTGTTTGGATTGCAGGCACAGCGTGACATTCTAACACTTAAGTATTAAGACTTTTCCGGTAGCAATTCTCCAGTGTCGTAAACTGTTACACAGTGTTGTGCCTGGAGGTTGACAAAAACGGCAGCCGCAGCGACAGGCCGCAAATGGAGCCGGGGACGTCGCGTGAAATTCCGAGCGCCGCGGGGTTCCCTAAACCGACCGGTGTACGGGAGGAGACTCCGGGGGAAGAGGCGAAAGGCGGAGAACGGAGCATCGGGATTCTGAAAGGAGGAGCGAAAGAAGACACCGCGGTGGTGGTGGAAGCGCAATGCGAGGATGAACAAGAGAAGTACATCAAAACCGGAGAGGGAGAAGATGCCACCAGCAAACACGAGGAGGAATTGGACCCACGAATTCAGGAATGTTGCAAAATGATCTGTATTACCGACCTAGCCAAACAGATGTAGTAACTTACATGTTTTCCTCCTCACAAATCTGCCGTTTTTATATTAGTACATTTAGGCTACAAAGTGAAGCGTAATAAACATAAAAATATCCACGACACTTGTCTGCTCCTATTACATGCTGGTACCTAGGATGGGTAGCCTCAAGGCTGCATCTGCATATGTCCCCCCACTGAACACTTAAGCATTGCTTATTCCCAGCATCTTTTCAGCCTTTCTGTTCATATTCTGCATTGAATAGATATTATTTCTCTCCTGTGTTTCCAGGAGGAGCTGGAACAGCTCAACCAGGCCAGCGATGAGATCAACAAGCTGGAGCTGCAGCTGGATGTGAGAAAGTTGCTTGTGTACCAGTCAGGATGCTTGGACACTGTTACTTGTACTGCAGACATCACAGCGACAGCTTTTACCCAGTGTCATGACAGGGCTCACTGAACGTGATTTGCCATGTGTTTTCATCTGCATGCTCCCTTCAGGATGCCAGGTCCAGCTACAGGAGGATCCTCACTGATTCTGCCAGGAAGCTCAATGCTCAGGGCTCTCAGCTTGGTGCCTGCATCGAGAAAGCAAGGCCCTACTATGAAGCTCGCAGGCTCGCCAAAGAGGTGCGTTTTTCAGGTGCACACGACTCTGCAGTGTATGCACATGTAGTAATATGAGAGATACACTCAGTGAACACATCTTTAGTTCTGCAATAAACGCTACCTTCATGAAGTTTGTAAGGTTTATTTTTGTGTACAAACTCTGATAGAAAATTGTTTTAGTTTGTGCTGCTGTTGAATTGTGTAGTGTTATATTGTGAGATGTTCCTAAAATTTAGCCTTGTCAAACTGTATTAGAAACACTTCTCCCTGACCTGCATGGAGCAGCTCAGAGGCTGAGGTAGACTGTATAGCATAGGGGCACTAGATTGGCTTCAAGTTTTGAATTTTGTTAGAGGATTTTATTTTTCAAACTGAGTGTATTGGATGATACTATTGGGGAATGTCCACAGCAGTGTTCATATTAGGGCTGCAGCTATCAATTCTCTTAGTAAGTGAGTATTGTATCGATTATTCTGCCAATTATTTGAGTAATCGGATAAGAAAGACTGCGTTTTGTCATTAAATTACTTAAGCTTTATTTAAGGGCAATAGTAATATATAAAACAGAAACTAAAAAAACTCTTTAATTGCAAAACATATGTCTGCAGTGTTGTGACTATCTGTCTATATTAATAAAATGAGGTACATAGTTATCCAGGAGCATTGGTCATGCCGTCTGGTTTATTTTACCTTTCGCTCTGCACACACATACAGTCAAGCTTCTTCCTTCTCTAGCTCTATCCGGTTCCTGTCTAGGTGCATTTTAAAATAAAGATCCTGTCTGTAGCAGTAGTATTAAACATTACATGCATTATGCACTTTAACTGCTGTGACAGATCAAAGGATGCATCTGCTGTCTGTAAACTCAGCTGCTTGCTCAGTTGAACATGGTGGAACCCCCTGCACAAAACTAGCCAAAGTACGACTCTGTGACTCTCTGAAAAAGAGTATAATTAATTTTTTTTATTGGTATTTATTACTACGCCTTCGTAAATATCATACTTTAAGTTCCTATGACTGGCTAGTTTAGACTGATTCACTGTGGTCAAGGGGTGCCTTACACCTGCTGACCTCAAGGCAAATAATTTGCCTTGAGGCTTTTTAGTAATCAGATTATTCGAGTAACCGGAGGAATCGTTTCAGCCCTAGTCTATATAATGCAAAAATATTTGTTGAGTGCATTTTTGTAACGATGAAAATAAGTCTAAATTTAAATAAAAAGTAAACTTTGAAAATGAGAACTTTAAAGAAACATTTAGGCAAAAACTAAATGACACTGTGAAAGATTGATGAATGGACAAATGAACTAATTATTGTTTGATGCAAAGCCTTATTTAACCACCTGCATGCATCTGCGGAATCACACACTGCAGCCTAGCTTCTGAATACAGAGTCCTCTACCATCTAAAAATATCTCTAGGGTAACATATTAAGTGCTATGGTGTGACTGTAACGTTAATATTACTTTTAGTTTGCTGTCTTTCATGTCACTATCAGGAGTGAGTAAGTTACATATTAATGTTAACAGTCAACAATCTTCCTCTAGATGTTAGCAGATCTACCATTACATTATCCACAGTTTTAGTCCTCGTTTGCTAAACTCAGATAATGAACAAGTGAGTGAATCCAGCTTCTGAATGATTCATTGCTGTGCAGTGGAGAGGACAGGTAGCTGTGGTAATGCTAGGTAACGAGGAGCGACACTGAGAGAGGTTCAAACAGCCAGAGTTTGTGATGACTGGAGCAGAGTCAGTTTGTTGTATTACTGTAGAGTAGAGTCACATGAGTACTGTGTGGGAACAAATGCCTTTTTAACTTTCCACTGGTAGAAAAGAACACATCTCTAATAATGTTAACTGTACACAAGATAGCAACAGTTGGAGCCTCAAAATGCTTTGATGAGAGAAATAAAATATAAAAATAAAAATACAAAAAATATAGAAATACAAAGGAGTGTACAATGCCACTGACGAAAATTAGACTAAAATGGCCGCTGTTTTTGTTGAGTTAAACTAGAATTACACTAACTAGAACGAACCTAATTTAAACACTTTGAATAACTGGTAATACATTTTCTGTGTGTGGTGTGGAGGTAGCTAAAACTACATTTCACTGTGCAGTCCTGTATTGTAACAACAATACTATTACTACTGATAATAATAATAATAATAATAATAATGATAATAATAATAATAATAATAATAATTATAAAATCATTGAATCTATGAATGAGTAGCAGGTGGTGCTAATTATGCTACTGAAGAAGAAAAGGGTCACAACAACGTTATGTAATTAAAAGAGCGCCAGCCAGGAGAGAATAAGAAACACGATGGAAATACAGCATTCATGTTTGTTTCATATATTTTTTATTTTAGGAAGATCACAGTCTCCTCATTGCTGCACACAGATCTCAGTTGTACTCAAAGACAGTGTTATAACTGTATTATTATTGTAAGTGTTAAAATACCTCAGTAAAAGATATAGAGTATTTTTAATACTTTAATACGGCCTTAATATACACTTGGTAATTGGGCCATATGTGAACTGAAATGAAGATGTGAGCCTGGATTATTATAAAAGTTAGGCGTGGCTGTGTTTATATATCAGTAATGTTTGTTTGTGTATTGCATTGTCAATACCTGTGTGTTTATATCTGTACTCCCTGTACACATGTGCATGATGTGTTGTATTCCCAGCAGTATGTTACTCCAAACACATGTCACGAAGTTCTTTTGGGGAACCCACAAAAAGCGTAGCCACTGTAATCCTCCACTGAATATCACACACATCAATTCAACAGCAGTGCTTTGAGTATGGATCCTGAAGCTTAAAGCAGAAATATGACATCCTCAACTCAACTCAACTCAAATTTATGTATAAAGTACATTTAAACAATTCTATGGAGGTATTTTTGTGTCTTTTTGTTGCAATCATATAAACCTGTGTTGAGAGCATATTTCTTAAACTGCAATCAAAAATCAAGTTTGTAAGTAAAAACGTATGATCATTTCGCTTATAAATCAGTCCTCTTTGCTTGTGAGTTAAAGACTTTTGCTTGCAGATCAGTCCTCTTTTCTTGCAAGTTCAAATGCACTTAATGGGCGGGGCCTAAGCTGATGGATGAGAGAAGAGTTTCTGTTGGTGGATTTGACATGGGTCCATACAGAGTGGGCTACACCCACGATTCCCTCTTTCCCACTGGAAACGCTTGACACTCGGCATTACTGCTACAACCGTCGAATAGTTCTGCCCTGGCTAAACAAAAGCAATATACATGCACCAGTCCAAATAAAACATTCTTGCTATTATTAGACCTAGTCCACACGGACCCGTGTACTTCTGAAACCGTGTATTATGCTATGGATTTGGCTGTTTGGCCACACGCAACTGCACTTTTGGGCCCCCGAAACCACGTTTCTTTCCAGGGTGAAGTTTTTGGAAGACTCTGGTGCCAGCGGTTGCGTGTAGATAGGATAACCGCAGTATTTTATTACCTGTCTCCATTGTTTGACGTCAGAGCGACGGTAAATAGCTCTTTTCTAAAAGTTTACTAACTACTAAAATCCCACATCCTGTGTTAAATACAATGTATTTTAGCTATATTTACAATGAAGCTTGATTCTGCACTCTGCACTTAGCCCATATGTGAATGTTTACCGTTGCTATGGCAACAAGTGACAGCTGATGTTAGCGTTAGTTAGCTTAGCTTAATCATCCGACAAACAATAACCCATAAAATTATAATTCAACATATTTAAACAAAGTCAACAACAGCTACCAACAGGTACAGTCCTTAAAACCTTAGCTAATGTGTTGTCACTGGTTAGATTGTCAAAATTAAAGTAATAACAGTTTAAATCGCTGAGGAACTATGCTACCATTAGTGACGGTTGCATCCACTCGTATGCAATTACCAATTACCTTACATTGACGGGCCTGCCAATAGAGTTTCTGGATCTGGTCGGGTCGGACCTCCGTTGGCAGGCCCGTCGCTGCTTTCGTGGTCGTGTAGTTGGTCGTTCAGGCGCCTCTGCTGTTGAATTAGGTCACGCTATTTTTGTGGATTGGGTTATTTTTTATTTTCCGCACTTCCCTATTCCAGTATTGACTCTGACTTCTGATTGGTTAAAATGGCCTGTCCTTGATTATTATAAAAGTTAGGCGTGGCTGTGTTTATATATCAGCAATGGTCATGTGTGTTTATGTATTGCATTGTCAATACCTGTGTGTTTATATCTGTACTCCCTGTACACATGTGCATGATGTGTTGTATTCCCAGCAGTATGTTACTCCAAACATGTCACCAAGTTCTTTTGGGGAACCCACAAAAAGTGTAGCCACCGTAATCCTCCACTGAGTATAACACACGTCAATTCAACAGAAGTGCTTTGAGTATGGATCCTGAAGCTTAAAGCAGAAATATGACATCCTCAACTCAACTTAACTCAAATCAACTCAACTCAAATTTATGTATAAAGCACATTTAAAAACAACTCTATGGAGGTATTTTTGTGTCTTTTAGTTGACTATTCTGGTATTGACTCTGACTTCTGATTGGTTAAAATGGCCTTTCCGTTAGAAGTTACATTGCCACCTACTGCTTTGGCATGTGTATTACATCACTTGGTAGCGGGTTTTGCGGTTTCGTGTTTCATATTTTTTTATCACAGCACTCGTGTGGACAAAATTTTATGGAAACCGGAGCCCGAAAAACGTTGGTTTCAGAATTCGATTTTCGCCACAGCTCCCGCACTGAATTCCTCGTGAATTACAGAACTCCCATGTTGCTTTGCAAGTGTGCTAGGCTGATGAGTAGAATTTAATTAACAGGCTAAATGATGTCTCGTACAGTATGTGGCGGTATGCACCTTTAAATTGTTTGCAATCCACCAATAAACCGATAGAAGAAGAAAAAAAATGCTTAGCAATCTGTCATTCCGATTGAGACTGGCCAATAGAGACCTGTCTTACAGCTTTCAGTTTAGGCCCCGCCCACCAGGTTCAGCTTTTTACTCGGAAAA